TAATAGCCGGTTTTGGAGGTTTTGTGGATGAGAACTAGGCAGACCTGAAGCAGGAGCTTTTATTGTCATGGTCCAAACTCAAGGATAGGCTGTGAGACAGACGTGTCTGTAAGAAATACTCAGTAGGGCATCATGTGCGTACCACCCTGCTGCTCGCAGAATGCATGAAGCAGGCAAACAATTACAGTATGCACACTGCTCCATAAAACCCACCTCCATTGTGGTTCCCATGTGTGTACAAGGGTGAGAGGGCACTGTTGTAACAGGAATAACTTAGAATAAAGAATCAAATGGCAGCTCCCAATATTAATTAACAAACATGCGAAGATCCAGTCCAGTAAGTCAAAAAATATGAAAAAATTCTGTGAAGATCCAGTCCAGTCTCATAAGTATTTGTAGGTATTTGTATTTTTAAAGCACATTTTGGATATGCTGAAATGTACAACATGGATGTACTGACAGCATTTAAGATATATTTACAAAGTAAAAAGTATGTACATATGCACAGAAACATAATATAACATATTTGTGCATTATAATATGATACAGATGTTTATTATATTTTATATAGACACAATTCAAGTTACAGTATAATATTATATAGATATTTGTAAGCAAGTATTTTGTGAATGATATAATGAACATTGAACATATTGAGTAAATACAATAAAACAATCAATTAACAGTTTTTAGTATCATTGAGATACTATTATAGTTTTCATTAATATATTGATTTTTTTCATATTTTCCCTTTTCATATTAAGTTTTAGTAATTTAGTTGTTTTTGCCACTTTTATTTGTTTGGGGGGTTTTTTTATATAGTTTTAGTTTATTTCAATTAACGTTTCATTTTAATAAACTATAATAACCCTCCCTCTTAATTTCATGAATTTCTATGAACCTAAAAGAATTTAACTTATGTTTAAACATGCTTATGTCTCAAAGATGCTGTCAGAACGTGTTTCAGTGTCTTTACACACTTTATGTACCTATGCTAATGAGATTATGTTGGATGATCAATTAATGTCCAGAACTTTTTTTTTTGTAATTTATTTGTGTTTTTGCAAATTTTATTAGTTTAATATAGTTTTAGTTTATTTCAATTAATGAAAAAAAAAGGTTTTAATGGTTTAGTTGCAATTAACCCTGCTTATTAATTTCATATTTTAGTATTATATGAACCTAAAAGAATGTAACTTTTTTACATCAAGCTAATGTTTTAAAGGTGCTGTCTGTATGTTTCAGTGTATTTGCACACTTTATGTAGCTATGATAATAACTAATTTGATTATGGTGGATGATCAATTAATGTCCAGAAAAAAATTCAGATTAAAAAAAAAAACAAAACGATTTCATTAAAATGTTCGAAAGTGCATCATTTCACTATCCAGAGAGAGCAAACATGCTAAACCTCAGGCATTGTCAAAACAAAGGCAAGAGAAACAAAGGGGGGGGTTTTTTTATATAGTTTTAGTTTATTTCAATTAACGTTTCATTTTAATAAACTATAATAACCCTCCCTCTTAATTTCATGAATTTCTATGAACCTAAAAGAATTTAACTTATGTTTAAACATGCTTATGTCTCAAAGATGCTGTCAGAACATGTTTCAGTGTCTTTACACACTTTATGTACCTATGCTAATGAGATTATGTTGGATGATCAATTAATGTCCAGAACTTTTTTTTTTGTAATTTATTTGTGTTTTTGCAAATTTTATTAGTTTAATATAGTTTTAGTTTATTTCAATTAATGAAAAAAAAAGGTTTTAATGGTTTAGTTGCAATTAACCCTGCTTATTAATTTCATATTTTAGTATTATATGAACCTAAAAGAATGTAACTTTTTTACATCAAGCTAATGTTTTAAAGGTGCTGTCTGTATGTTTCAGTGTATTTGCACACTTTATGTAGCTATGATAATAACTAATTTGATTATGGTGGATGATCAATTAATGTCCAGAAAAAAATTCAGATTAAAAAAAACAAAAAACGATTTCATTAAAATGTTCGAAAGTGCATAATTTCACTATCCAGAGAGAGCAAACATGCTAAACCTCAGGCATTGTCAAAACAACGGCAAGAGAAACAAAGGTGACTCAACACATCAAAAATCTAGTGATTGCTCTGCTTGTAAAATTATATAGCTTTTTCCATTTCGCAGTTCAAAATTCCACCTTGTTTATTCAGTTGATAATTAAGTGTAAAATGAGATAATACATATGTATATGCTTGCAAAATGCACTTTAAGAGGCCACTTAGCGAGACTATTATGCAGTTAGCTGCCATAAAGGCAGAGAATAAACATGCAACAAATGCAAATCCAAAGATGGCTAATTATTGAGAACCTACGTCCAAAATCATCTATTTCTTAAAGCACCCATGATGTTCCCATAGTTCTGGTGTTTTTAATCCATTAATGCTGTCTACATGGATTTGGTGAGATAGCGGCTGGGGGCATTCTTGGCAAGGTCAAAGCAGTCAATGCAGATGTGGTTTTATAGGAAAGGCTTTTTGATGTTGACTGTCTGGATTTTTCCATGTTCTCACTCAAGAAACATTAAAAATAAGTTCTGTTAAGCCCAGTGATCCTTTTCCATGCGGAGAACAAGTCACGCCTTTGCCTCAAACATAGTAAAACCCATTAAAATGCAAAAACAAAGGCCTTGACTTTCACTCAAAGGCCTATTTTAAACCAGGCTAAGATGTATTTAGTATTGACATCACTGTCAATTTAAGCAATATTGCCATATTTTTTCTTGTTTGCATCAAGGGCCTAATTAGTAGAAACCCCTCAGCTGGTGACATCTGATATTTCCCCAAAACAAAGGAGAGACCAAAAGTGGTGACAAGAGTCTCCCACCCACGCAGAATGTGGACTGCGGTCAGGGAGCACAGGAAGTTCACCGAGGCTGAAATAACACACCCAAAACCGAGCCTGACATTCACGTGCCTGTTACCTACACAGGGCGAAGTGAAGAAACGGAGAAAGCGGAAGAAAGGCAGCAGCAATTAAGGAAAACTAGAAGACTGTTGAAACAAAGTTACAGTCAATGCTTTGCAGACTTCATAAGTTCACGCACGGGTTAGTGAAAAAGAGCGGATTTAATCTCTTTTGCTGTTCAAGCATTGTCTTGTATGTTTGACATGACTATGATGTCACTTCCTTTACAGAAAGCTAGGAAACAAATCAATACCCGAGCAAGATTGAGTTTATTTTGTACATAAGGAAATTGCTGTACAAGACTTCTCCCCCCTCCTGTATAGAAACAACATTTTTTGTATTTTTCAAGTGTCAATGAGCCTGATTTTGGGTAATTGTACATCAACTCTTGCCTTAATAAAGTCTAATTTCCACAAATCTAAATTCCACAGATTTGATTCTACATTAAATGTGTATAAAGACAAAAAAAAAAGGTATTCTTTATAGACTTTCTGAATGAATACATGTTGTGCTCATGCACTAGTACAGTGGTTCCCAACCCTGGTCCTGGAGGCACCCCAACACTCCACATTTTGCATGTCTCCTTTCTCTGACACACCAATTTCAGGTCTTGGAGTCTCTACTAATGAGCTGATGACCTGAATCAGGTGTGTTTGATTAAGGAGACATGCAAAACATGCAGTGTTGGGGTGCCTCCAGGACCAGGGTTGGGAACCACTGCACTAGTACACCAATACTGTGCACTGACCTGGTTTTCTGATTACTTTTAACAATACAAAAGGAATACTGAAAAAGTGATGAAGTTTATATCCACAAGATTATTTTAATTGTCTTTTTTAATATATATATATGCAGTATATGCATGTTTACTGAGGCTGCATTTATCTGATCAAATATACAGAAAAAAATATTTAAAATATATATTTTTTTAAATATCGCAATATTATTACAATTTATAATGTCTGTTTCCAAATATTTTGTTTTATTCCTGTGATGGCAAAGGTTAATATTTTTTTCTTATTTTTGTGGAAAGAGTGACACATTTTTTTTTATTCAAGATTCTATAATGAGCAGAAAGTTCAAAAGATTTTAAAATAGAAATGTAAATGTTCAAATAAAAAAAATACTGTCAGTTTTAATCAATTTAATGTGCCCTTGTTACATAAAAGTATTCATTTTATATGTAAATAAGGTGTAATCGTTAGTGTAATTATACATTTAAGTGCTGAGTAATATTAATTAACTACATGTACTTACTATATGGTTAGGGTTAGGATTAGGTTTTGTCTTAGGGCCACTTGCATGTAATTATGCATAATTAATTGTTATTATAATAGTAACATGTAACGTGTGTAACAAGGACACCTTAAAATAAAGTGTTAACAAAAAATCTTACTGACTTCCAAACTTACTCCTTTCATATACATGAACTAGTGTCCATGGTCCCATTCAGGTTGGGCTGGAGCAATACACAGAGGTACAGTGAGGATGTGGTTTCACTGGGTGCCAAATCTAGCACTCTGTTATAACTTGCACTGGATACTATGATATGGCCCTTTCTATATTCTGAAACCTTGTTACAATGAGTGAGAGCGTGTGAGAGACTTCAAAACGGTGTCATACTCACCAGATTTACAACGTTATAACATTTAACATTTCCTCCCTACACTGTTAGGAGTTAGTCAAGACCCATGTACTGTAAGAGTACCCTACACCAAATGAAAAGTGAGCTCAGAACATTGTATCAGAAATATACTGTATCATATTTTAAATCACTCACTTTACAGAACAGCTGGTAGAAATGCAAGAGTAAGTTGCCCTTGGCTCCATGAAACCCTGGCTGGGCGCTGGAGTGCTTCTAATTTGCTCTCAAGTCAAACACCCTGACCAGTCTGTTGTGGTCTGGCTTCAAAGGTTAAATCTGCACATAAGGTGGTCTGCGGATCTGATGAAAAAAATTCAAATAAAAGCAACACAGCTCTGTAGAAGAAACTTCTGACTCAAAATAAACAGATAAATATATACAAAATGGTATATAAAACGTATATATTTGACCATAGCATATTACACAGTGAGATACAAATACAGTTGATTTAACACAGTGAATTGAGATGACAGCAGAAGCTTTAAGGCAATTAGACGACGTGCATCATTAAATCATTCAGAAATTCAATAACAGAAATATCTATTATGATTGTCAAATTAAGAGACTTACTGCAAAACTTGTATATGAATGACAACTATTCATAGATGCTCAGCATAGGGATTTGTGTTTTGCATAAATCAGTTATTCAGCTATATACTGTACAATATTTGGCAATAGATCGCTTAGGCAAGGTTTTTTGGTTAATGTTTTATCTTATTCACTTTCCTTTCATAAATCAGTGATATTGCAGATGTGCAGAAAATAGCTACGATGAAAAAAAAATGTAATCGCTCATATTTTTCTTTCTGTAACAGAGATAAGAATGCATCCTTTTTACTGTCAAATCAGTGACTTTATGGAAACATCAAATCCCTTCTTCACTACTTCTGCCCTCATTTTTTAAAATAAAATGTGAACACTTCCGGAAATCCAGCAGGTTAGGTCGGATTAACCCAGATTTCTTGACGTTTCCTGTTCGTAGAGAAGCTTCATCACATAAATGTGATGTGTAATGCAAAGAGTTGAAGTTTTGAGATTCCAGTTTCACTAAATGTGACTCCACAATAGTTTCTTCTCACTGAACTAGGTAAAAGAGGCACTCATGACCTGGTCATGGAGAGAAAACAAGTAATTTGTGTATTTTATCATGTAACAGCTCCTTCACAGGCATGTTTAGAAGTCTGGCAACTTCTTCGAGATGCGCCTGTTCATTTTCATACTTTACAGAGTCAAACGCAAAAAGGCACAAAGGCACCAGGGCGTGAGTCTAACATTTGCACAAATAAACAAGTCTTTTATCTCTCGTTCTCGTTCGCAGCCCACATTCCACATACATGTTGCCAACCCACAGTTGACCCCCAGTCCATTTAGTGGGGATTTTGCTAAAGCAAAATAACAGAGTGTGATAGTAATCAGAGAGGTGGGCTTGCTGACAGCGGGGGCTCAGCTAATAACCGGCCTGTCTCGGATCTTACAGCCTAACAGTACAAATCAGGGTTTAACCTAAAGAGCCAGCGCTGTTGAAAGGAGAGGAACGAATGGATGGGAGGTGGTGCGACGGGGCTCGGTCTCCCTCTCTCTGCGTGAAGGAAGAAGAAAGAAGCATCTGGCTGTGAAGAAAGAAGCCAGTTTTACAGAAGACATGAAAAAGGATTAAACCGGCAAAGAGATGAAAGTGTAAGTGGGAGTTAAAGAGAATACTGAGAGAGTTCAGGACCGGGTCAGATAAGGGGCAGCGAGCGTGGCGTGTAATACATGTACAAACACACACAGACGTTATGCAACTTTCATGCATATAGGACTAGAACAGGCTAACGCACACATAAAGACTTCTAATTCTCTCAGCCTGCCTTCAGTTTTCTCGAGGACACGTGCACAAGCACCAGTAGGATGGACAGAGATGTGTGGATGGAGTTTTGGTGTGGTTGGTAATTGATGTGAGGGTTTATGTCCTTTTTCTCATCACAGTCTCACTGTGTTCCCTTTCCCACTCCACTGAAGGGTCCAACCATCTTCATAGCAGCATAGTTCTGAAAAATTATAATAATAGTTTATTACATTCTAGCATGTTTTATAATTTACGAATATTCATAAATGGATATATTTATATAATAAAATCGTTTTTTTATACTTCACTTATATTATAAAGAATTAATGAAAGAAAGTTTGGGGTCAGTAAGTTTTTTAATGTTTTGAAAGAAGTCTGTTATGCTCACCAAGGCTACATTTAATCAAAAATACAGTAAATACAGTATTAGTGTGAAATATTACAATTTAAAACAACTGTTGATTACTTTAATATATCTTAAAATGTTTTAGTTTTTTTTCCTGTGATGGCAAAGCTGAATTTTCAGCAGCTATTGCTCCAGTATTTAGTGTCACATGACCCTTCAGAAATTATTTTAATATGCTGATTTGGTGCTCAAAAAAACATTTCTTATTATCGTCAACATTAAAAACAGCTGTTCTGCTTAACATTTTTCTGTAAACTGTGATACATTTTTCAGGATTATTTGTAAAACAGAAAGTTCAAATGAATAGAGCTTGCTTGAAATATAAATATTTTCTTTTTTTTTTTTTTTTTATTAATTTTATTTAATTTAATAATTACTTTTTAATTTAATGCATACTTGCTTAATAAAAGTAATATAATATATATAATTTTTTTCATCCTGTATGTTGAATATTGTATATACTGTATGGCTAATAGATAAAAATATGTCATTTCAACAAATGTATGTTCCACAGAACAGTGTGAAATGTCTTCAGTGTGCACGACTGTGTGTGTACGAGTGTGTCTGCAGTTCTGAATAACACATGCCGCATTCCTGAACTACGATCAGAGACACGCATCTCTGATCAAGCACTTCATGATCACAGAAACCCCCGTTTAAACTTTAATCCTCTTCTTTTATCGACACAATTACTACCATCACACACATCCACACAGATACTTACAGGAAAGGCGTAGAGAAAGACTCCAAGGAAGAGAAAAATGAAAAAGAGTACAAAGAAGCCCAGAATAAGCCACTTGAACCTCCTCCACACAATAAACTTAAACGTCTTAAATGGGGATGAGAACCATAAGAATGAGGTCTCAGGACGCCTGGAGAGAGAGAAAGTACAGTATATTAGCAACCGTATATTAAATTCTGTAATTCCCACCTTGAGCTAAGGGCCAACATAAGGATAATCCTGAATACTTTTTGGTTATTTGGTGAGGGCAATGATTGTGATGGGTGCGCTTGACTTACTGCGGCTCATCTAGACGGGGATTCATGTTGGGCTCGTCTCTGCCGAGTCCGGCGGGCCTCTCATCCTGCTCCTGCTCAGAGATGATTTCCAGTGATATTTCCACCTTTCCCTGAGTGACAAAGAGCAGCTCAGTTTCCTGTAGCTCAAAAAGTAAAGCATGGCACTAGCAACACTAAGGTCATGGGTTCGATTCCCAAGTAATGCATGTCATGAGGTGATCAATAGTAAACCTGCAATGCCATGTAAGTCACTTTGGATAAATGCATCTACCAAATGCATAAATGTAATTGTAATGTAAAAGAGACTGTGGCGAGGGGGGCGTGGTTTAGCGGGGTTTGCAGCGGGAGGGAGCGTTCGGAGACGAGCGGTGAGTAAGTAGGTCAAGTGCAAAATGACATTCACCTGCTTCTACTTACAGTGATTGGCGTGGGGAGACCGTAATAGGCCACGGTGGATCAGAAGCAGGAGAGAGAGACCGACTGAGGACTCGTGGCCCAAGTGACCGAGAATACAGCCAACGTGCTCTGAGTTTATGTTGTTTGATGCGTGTGATCACGCCTATGCTTATAATTTTGGGAGAGCTAAATAAAATTCCACGAGCCTCAGTCACGCCGACTCCGACTTCTTCCTTTCCCTTAAACAAACTTTATCACACTGGTGCCGAAACCCGGGAGGAAGAAGCACGGCCGCCGCTACCATGCAGTCACTGCCAACTTCGCCGTTTGCGGAAGTGATTCAGTTGCTCGCGGGCCTCCATCAGGAGCACCACCAAGCGCTGCTGGAGATGCGGGACGACCAGGAGCGTTGTTTCCGTGCACTGGTGCAGGCACAGCAGGAGGACCGTGAGCTGTTCCGGAGCTGGATGGACCAGGAGGTCTGGGCAGGGGGGCCGATATCCCGAAACCCACCTGCGCCCGCGCATGTGCCCCTGAATAAAATGGGGCCCCAGGATGACCCCGAAGCTTTTATCGACCTGTTTGAGAAATCAGCGGAGGCCTGTGGATGGCCAAAGGAGCACTGGCCAGTGCGACTCATCCCTCTGCTCTCAGGGGAGGCGCAGGTGGCAGCCCAACAGCTGCCCGTCCAGAACCTCCTGGTCTTCGCCGACCTGAAGCGAGCCATCCTGCAGCGGGTCGGCCGGAGCCCAGAACAACATCGCCAGCGGTTTCGCTCGCTGGATCTGGGGGAAAGTGGCCGGCCCTTCGTGTTGGCTCAGCAGCTCCGGGACGCCTGCCGCAAATGGCTGCTGGCCGGGGGAAGTG